TATTGTTCAGAGATATACAGATCTTGATGACTTAAATTACATTTAGAAAATATTCTGTATTCTAAAACATTTTACAGATATCAATTTATCTTAAACTAGAATATTAGCAAATACAAAATTAAGTTGTTTATCTTTATCATTTGGGTCCCAAAATGGGGTTCAAACCCGTATGTATCTCAGACCAGTTCCAAAGGATCCATAAAAGTCAAAAAGTATCTAGTAATTTACGTTTATTTCCCTTAAAATATACCGATAGAATCATGATACGTTTTATTAGAATAAACTATTGATTAGTTTTGATACGATTAGAATGTATACAAGATGTAGCGTGCGTTCAATCCACACCACAATTCATGTTTATACTTACCGCGTATGAATCGTTTACACGCTCAGGTAAAGGAAAGCAACTTACAAATGTACTAACTTTTACTATAAAGCATAATATAAGTTCTGGTTCTTTATATTCTTGTGCATTACTTAATGCATTTACCTGTTCAATATAAACTGTATTTTTATTTATGTATACAGATAAAATGAATATATATATATATATACACACATATATATAGGAGTCTGCAAACATTTTTTGATATTTTGAAGGAGTCCGTAGATCTTAATAGTTTTAGAAGAGTTGTGTTATATAGTATTGAATAATAAATTTATCATATTAATAGTAACTTCTTATATCTCAAGTACGAATAAATTTCTTATAAATTTTAATGTTAATAAAGCTTATACACTTATACGAATTAGCTTACATTGTAACAATTTGAGCAGTTATCGATTCATATTATGTGTTATTGAATCTGATACAATTGTTGTAATATATATTGATACCTGATCTAATCAGTTCTATACGTTCATTATATTACATAAATTAATATAACCTTAATCTTAATTAATTTCTGTTCAATTGGACTTATTTTTTAGAAAAATAATGTAATCTATTATATTATATTTGAGTTTTTCTAAGTTTATACTATCAATAAAATAATGCAGGTTATAGTCATCTTATTCCAAATATATTTATTTATAAGCAATACAATTATTAAAAGTAAAATTTAATGTATAATTCTGAGATATACTGTAGATAAAATATTAAATTAATAAAGACACACAGATATACAGGTTTATAACAGTCTTAAAAGCAATTTGAATTTAAAACACTACTCACGTGCAGTTAATGACTTAAAAACTTTATCACCTGTGATGTTTTTGATTAATATGGTAATAATTTATAGAATTTATCAAATTCTAAGAACTTTTGACATTATAATATAATATCTTGATACGGTTTGAAGTAGTTTAAACTATCTTTACAGTTAAATTAGATTTATAGGCCTATTATGGAGATTGCAAAGTTAGAAAAATTGATTATAGGAAAATGGTTGGTTATATCATGAAGACATAATAATAGATTCCTATGAATTTGCGATGAACATCATCAAGTCAATAACTAATTTGAAATAACATTAAGTTTTAGGAAAATTACAGAGTACTTTACTCCTATAATAAGCAATACTTTCAACAGGAAAAAAATGCCCTCTTTTATAGAGTCGAGTAACTAATATAAAAATTTATTTCACAATTATTTATTTCACAATTAGAATTAAATTTTACATTTTCATTTCGCCATCTCTTTAAACTATTAACAAAAATAATTATTATGTACGGAAAAATATATACAGTATATATATTTACTTTTTATTAATTAAAAATTATGAAATGAAAAATTAAATATTAATAATAACGAAATTTGTTTGTTTCTAGAGAAAAGAAAAAATATATATCGTTACTTTTGAATAATCTAATTTTAATATTTTATTTTTATAGCTTTGATTGGTGATTTAGCATTTAAATTTAATAATCATAAAATTATCAAAAAACATTAAAAGGCTTCTAATAAATAAATAAATAACTGTTTTAATTTTATATCGCAAAAAAACAAAAATCATGTACGCATTAAGAACTTAAAAATATGTTACTTTTTCTTAAAACCTCGTTAATTCGATAATTTGGACTATTATTTTGTGTTGTTCATTTTTTTTTAAATAATGAATCTCTAACTTTAACAAAGTTGTTAACGAATAGATAAATAAATTTATAAGTATGAATTCATGTCAATATTTTAATTAAATTAATTTCATTTTTTAAAATTTTATGAATTAGCTTTTTTAAGCACAAATTACTGATCGTTGGCAATGACAATAACAATGCTAGTACTACTATTGCATTGTAAAAGTCTATCAAATCATTTGTTCATTTAAAATTCACAGTAAAGTTTGACTTTATTTAAAGTGTACTTTTGGACCATATAATTATATATATAGCCTATATACACAGCACAGTACTGCAGTATATATATTGAAAAAAGTAACACACGCGCACACATCATTTCCAACTAAACCTCGTGTTTGACGAACTTATTTAACTAACATAAACATATATAACATATTAATATAATAAAATTCAGTATAAATGAATACTACACCACACGCTGTTTTCAACAGCTGATACGCCAGCAATACATCACTGATGCAGATGGCGGAAGTTTAAACGAAAGGTAGCCTATACTACAGTATTCTATTATTCTATACCGTACAGTACATAGTGGTACTATTGTGATACTGTACTAAATAAGCTATTAATGTTTTATAAGAGATATTAATTGACTTGAATAGGTTTATCGGTAGATCTTATCAAAGTAACACTGAAAATTTTAACGATTACTTGGTATCCTATGTAGATCTTATAACTATATCCCTATTTTATATGAGCTAACAATATACATATACTATATTGAAAGGTATTATGATTAGTGTCTCGATGAAAGTGTCGCCTTATTATACGTTTTCTCCATATGTTTACATATATCATATCCACATTTCAATTCTAGCCTACCGATAGAGTAACATTTTTGGAGTCTGTATACGATAAATATAAATCTAAACTAAAATACTGAGCTGAAAATCGTGAGGCCAACTTATATGCCAGCATATGCGATAACATATTCTTATATACATATGTAAGTTATACATGTTTTAAATCTGTAATGTTGCCATATAAATATAGTAAACGCATATACTTACAGAAGAAAAAGCTTTATCAGTTAAGAAATGCGTATTAATTTAATCACTCATATTACATTTACAAAATATAGAAAAATTTTTCTGTAAGAAAACTAAGTACATGAGCGGGTTGCTCATGTAAAAAAAAATAAATAAATTGTTTACTTTGTTAGTTACATTATTTATTTAATGTTAGTTGTATATCTGTTTGTAAGAAAAATTATTTTTTCATCATATTTAAACAATCTTACGTAAGTTCTGCTGATATAATTCTTTAACTAAACTCAGGTTTTTATTTGGAATAAAATGAAATATTTAATTCTTTTTGTTAAAAAAAATTGCGAAGTTTCAGGTATTGTGGGCACATTAAATTTAATGTTCAGTCTACCAAGAAATAATATATTTAATTTTATCTAACTAAATTTCTATATCGTGGTTTAGAGTCATATATTTTAAATCATATGCTGTTAACTGAAGCGGAAACATAGTTAAAATCATACATTATCATCTAATTGCTATTTGATTGCCTGAAAATCTAAATGCAAATTTGTCTAATTATACTTGTATTGTCATAAATTTTGTGTGAGAAAATTTAAAATTCCTTGAAGACATTTCCTGTGTAAATAAGACTATGTTGAGAAATCAAATACTTTAATAAAATGAAATAATTTTAATAATAACAATAAATTCTTTATCGTTATTAGATTAAATTAATAAAGACGGAATTTTGTTATTATGTTATAAAAATTTACTATTAATAAAATGACAAACTTCATAAATAAAATAATTTATTTAAGCAAGTGTTAGAGTTTTAAGTCTAAAATTAATTTATAAATTAGCTAATATATTAAATATATAAATAAAATAAATAAATTATACAAAATTATATATGCCAGTATATAATACAATTTTAAAAAATAATTATAAATACTTTTATTATAATTATAAATCTTGTAAAACCATGACGAATTTGAAAATATAGGTTTTTCTTTTTGTTCTGAATGTCAGTAATTTCAACAAGATTTATGTCTTTTGTGTTTTAAATAGTTTAAACAGAGAATAAAAATCGTGATCATTAAGACAGGTAATTTATAACAAACCCATCGTTAAAATTGGCAATCGCAGCTTGATTCATATATAAATATTAATTCAATTTAATGAGAAACGACTTTCTCCGACGTTAATTAAACGAAACAAAGTAGTAAATTAAAAGAAAGTCTGATTTCATCAATTAATCGATTGAAACAAAATAAGAATGGCAACATAATTATTATTGCCTTTATTTTCATTTTACGACAGAACACGATTGTATCTTTGACTTTTTTTCCTTCAATTTTATGAACAGATTGTACTGGAAAGTCAAGAATTAATTAATTGTTAATTTAACTTGCATCGTGTTTAAACAAGGAAATGTGTAGAAAAAAACGTTGTAAAGAGTTTCAAGAAGCTGATTTTTTATAGGTTCAGTATTTTTCGTATAAAAAAATTCACATTATTTTCGTTTACGAAATTGTCATATTTTTTATTTGACTTTTTTATATAAAACTGGAATGTCTTGTTATAAATTCTTACAATAATATAATATTGTATTTGTCACGAAAATTTCCATAAAATTCCGTAAAATGGAAAAAAAATTATTTTACGTTTTTAAAGTTCTGCTAAAAACATAAAAATAGACTTATAAAACATTTATTTTGCTTGACTCTTAAGGAAAAGATAGAAATATATTTTTATATTATTCAAATAATATAAAATATAATACACTTTAACAGTTTTGTGTACCTATTTTTGAAAATTTATAGTTATGTTAATGTATGTTTATAAATAAAGCTAAATAACGAAGTTTTTCGTAAATTATCGTACTTTGAAGTTAGTTTATTTTTAGCGTGTCTTTATATTTATCAAAGTTTTAATAATTTTATTATCTTGCAGGTAACTGTGACAGCTTTAGAACCGTGTCGATTACTATGCTGGCAGAGACGTCGAATACGTCAAGTTTTAAAGAATAATCAATTTTTGGATATCATCATGTATAACCTCATCGGAAAAGACATCACTCACAAGCTCTACTCTCTAAATGAGTTTCATAGGCCAGAAAATAGAACATTACTATCAGACCCTAATGATTGGTGGCGTCATCCCATACCTCGTAGTCTGAGTGTGGATGCTGTACATACTGGCACAAAAGGACACGTTAGATCTCTTCTTTGGAGGGCACAGAACAGGAGAGCAAGCAGTGCACCATCGGACAGCATAGGTACAAAATCTAACATAACAATAATTGTTACTCGTCACGAATCGTCTCCTGCATCTAGTGTTCGTTTAGATGCACCCCATAGTGAATATCGTTCTGATATACCACCGTCCAGTTGATAGTATTTGAGACTTCAGATTTTTACAGTTTATCTATACAGATCTATCTATTCAAAAGAAAAAAAAACCGCTAAAAATCGAAAACAAAATATTATTAGAATTATAAATCAATTAACCAGTGTATAAATTCATATAAACTAATAGAATAGCATTTATACTATTTTACTAAAAGAAAATTATGCACTCTTCGTTTTCCATATTTCTCATACTAAATAACTATAATTTTTGAAGATATTATGTAGAAAAGAATAAGAGGTTTAAGCTTTTATACATTTAAAACAAAAACATCGAAGTCTATGCCTCATCGATTATCAATTTTCCCTTCAGTTGTTATTTTTTTCAAAAATATAGGATCCATATTTTAGTTCAAAACTTCTAAAAATAACATAACCTTATGTAATAAGTTCAATAATAATTACGTGCCTTAAAATTTTAAGTTTATACTTTCAACACTTCATAATGCAGATAATTCATTGTTAAAATTTGCTGATTAAGAATGATCAATACTTTAAGAAGTACAAAAGATGATCAATACTTTAAGAATATTTGCGATCGAATGCACAAACTTTTCCAAACTGCCTTAGTCATTTATTTTTAAAATAGTGAATGTGATAATCAGTTCTCTAACATATCACACATTGTTTAAAAAAGATTTAAAATATTAATTTTTATAATGTATTAATCCGTCCAGAAAATTTCATTTGATTTATTTATACAAATATTTAATTTATTTCAAAATTTATATTTTAAATTATGGTAAAAACATAAAGAATCTATGTACAATTTTTTTGGTAAAAATGTTTATAAAATTTAATTCTATAAAGTTTATATAATAAGAGTAAAACAACTCTGTGATTAACTTTATTGCCATAAAATTAAAATTTAAAATTAATAAAAGAAAGGACAAATTAAATGTAATTATATATAAAATTATTTTGCATTTTTGCAATAATTAAATTCTCACATATCAAGTTTATGTCAATTTATTTCAGAATTATTAAAATTGCTTTATAAAATTTATGAATAGAATAAAAAACATATTAAAACTTTNTTTTTTTTTTTCCTGCACTAATGGATTGTTGATATTTTTATTTTGACATTAGAACTTCAAACAATTAGTGGAATCTAAGGCTGCTTGTTAAATGCTTTAATTAGATAGAACTCAAAAAATTTTATTTGTGTTAATAATACATTATCAGAAGGAATAATATTTATTTGTTTATAATATAATGATAATTATATTTAATTTCAAATTTCATAAATACATAACTATAATTTGCTGAAGTAAAACTTCATAACTAGTATTTAGTAAGGGAAAATTTTATTTGGAATGAAGTTTGATTATTTCCAAGATTTTCAATAATAAAAACATCACCTTGATTAAAGATTAAAGCTCCTTTGAGAGTAATTCACATCATTCTTCCAAAATGTAGTCATGCACTATCCTTAAAGGAAGAATGTTTAAGCTGAAATTAATAGACCTACTATATAATGTTTATAGCTTATTAGTGAAAGATCTTGGAAATAATGAAATTTCCCTACAATTAGAATTTTCTAGTATGGAAACAAATACAGTATTGATGCTGATTCAGCTTTAACATAAATTTTTAAAATGTTTTATATTTATCTTCTTTTCATAGAAGTCAGTTTGAAGTAAATAAAATGTTTAATTAATTTGCTTATTATTTCTATTTAAAAATTATTAAATATAAAATCAAAATTGATCAATATATAAATTTTTATGTATTTATTCTTCTTTCCATTAAGATAATGTTTATTAATTAAATATTTTTCTCTAATATATGTAAAATAATATTCTATAGTCAAAAAATTAAAGACAAAATTATTACTTTTAGATTTTTACAAGAAATTAGTGATTATTAGGATTAAATTAAAATTTAATGTAAAAATAATCTCCGTTCTTATCATTTGACAAAATATTTCCTTCTGATATTATTTATTTAAGAAATAAATAATTAAATTTTTGCACATTTTAGTAGCACTTCTGCTTCTGATGCTTTGCACTTCTCTTTCTCTATCCTCACCTTTCCCTCACCTGCACCATTCCATCAACTTCCTTAGGCTCGTCACCCGCTCGTACATCTCGTTATTCAGCCTACTGCTCAGATCCTGGTCCATTTAGGAGTCCATGCCGTCCTTCACCAATTCGAGTGGTTTCTACAGCTCTGGATATCAATTCCAATACATCCATTGACGAATCTTCAGCTGCTTCGTTTAAAACTGATGAAGGACATTTACCTGGGCGTGTGTCATTTGAGACATCTGTTTAGAAGTTCAGTGACTACAGTTTATTAATAATAAGACAGAAATGGATGAAATATCCGAATAATTTTGAGAATAAATTTGTCTACGCTTCAACTGATTGGAATATAAAGCACAGCCAAGCACTGTGCCTTAATGCTGATAGGTCCAGGGTGGCTTTGAGTTAATAATTTAACTATATGTAAATATTCTTACTATAATATAATTTATAAAAATGTTAAACTCTCTATACATTTTTACTTCCAATCAAAAAAATATAATCAAAGCCATATTTTATTTAAATTATTTATGATGAACCATTTTCCTATATGATTAACATATGTATATAATCATATATATTAAGACACAGTGCTTTGGTTACAGTGGTATAATTTATTAGTTCCTAAACCTGCCATCAAGAGAAGGTAAGGATACAAGAAGTTTTTTATTTATCAGAAGACAGTTTACAAATATTTACAAACAAAATATTAGCAAAGCCTTAAGATAAATATATAAACTAAAAGGTTACCATCCAATGTTTTATGAATTGTGTCTGTCCACAGAGCTTAATACTGTACATGATGTTCTTTATAAGGCCTTTGCTTCATTTAAATTCTTCAAAACATTTAATTAATTCATTTAAAACAATGTCCGTATCCATTCCTTGAGAGCTGTGATAAATTTCTTTGGCTTCTATCATTAACATTTTAGAGACTTTCCTAGCTTATTTCTGAACGAATAAACTAAAATAGATCTTAATATTTACATATAACTTAATATTTGCATTGCTTTAAGCATGATTTTAAGCATAACTCTCATCATAATTTAAAAGTAAATTTCTTCTATATATTTTAAATAAGCATTTTTCACGTTTGTATACATTTTCAAGTTTCAAAAACAAAAATCAATTCAGATTTTTTTTATATATAAGAAAATGTTTTTTAAGTTAAAGTGTAAGTAGGCAAAAACAATGTTATTCTTACATAGTAATTTAGAGAAAGATTAGATTTGATTTATTGCAACATGAATATAGCAACATGTTTCATACTGGAATGTGTAAAGCTATAGTACAAGGTTATCTTTTTACTCCAATATTTCACAATACCTGTCATCTAAGCAGATATTTTATATCAAAATATTTCAATCAATTCTATTTCACTTTGATCATCTTTTAATCTTCTTGCCAATGTTTTTTCTTCATGCTATTTTCATTCGTGCCTTTCCTATAGGTCTATTATAGGAATGCTCAAGTGCTAAATATTTCTTTAACGCATTCCAAAACGAGAGACAGAAATGACAACGAAACAATCTCGAATAGATCAAAAATGGCAACAAAGATTCATTAGCAAATAATTGCCTTTCTTCCAATCAATTAATAAACACATTATAAATAATTAAAACATAATTTATTTTAAAAAATAGTAATAAAATTATTTCATTTCATCTTTGAAAACTAAAGTAAGAAATCTTAACATTTGATCATAAAATTCATTATAGTTAGCTTTAAAATTTTTTTCTTTAAAAATCCTTTACAGCTATGAATACTTTTTACAAATTGCAAAAAGGAGTATGTTGCACGATAATATAAAATTCAATTTTAAATATGGTATCCAGCTTAATTAAGCTTATTTAAAGTTAATAACTTATAAAGGAAAGGTCCAGAGTTGATAAAGCAATCGATCTTGTTTAGATTATAGTATGAGACTGGTTCTTACCAATCTATCATTACTGAAAAGCTTAAATTTGTAAGTTTATTAGAAAATTATAAGCGGATGTCCGAATGCAAGCCAGAAAATGATATATAAAGAAAAACACTGAAAGGCATACTATTTCGTTTTATGATCAAACTAACTGCCTTTCAATGTATTAGCTTGAGCATTATTCTTAGTATAGTTAATAATCAATCCATTAAATGTCCCAAAAAATAATAGAATTATATGTCTATACATGTAGTATTTTATCTGTTGCCAAGAAATCTCTTCATCTGCATGATTGGACTTAGGAATCTTTTGTCTGAAATTAGCATGACATTGTAACCATTTCAAAATAAAATTTAATTTTTATCATAATAAAAACTCATAAATTTCTATAACTTTTTTTAAATAATTCGTTTAAAGCTCAGCTATTGACAATCAACATTTTTTCAACTGCTTTTTATTTATTGAATATTATATTTTATAACAATAATAAATAATGAATATTTCAATTTTTAATAAAATTTATCTAATATTTAAAATAAAATTGAATGGTTTTTGTTTAATTCTGGAATATTTTCAATTACTCTTATCATCATTTAATTAATTATTTGTAACATAATAAACTAACTTTAAAATAATATAAGTTTGCTTTTTATTTTTAAAATCATCAGCAAACAGAAAACATTTTATAAATTTAATTTTTAAAAAATGTTATTACATGACAAAATACAATTTTCAAAAATTTATATCCAAATATATCAGAACAAATTTAGAACTTGTGAATTAAATCAGAAATCTTACTTTATTTTTATTCATAGCAAATATATTTTAAATTATTTACAATTTATTTATATATATTATTTAGTAACATTTTTAAATACTTAATTTTAAATAATAATAAAAAAGTTATAAAAAATAAAACTTTATTTTTTTAATAAAATCATGTTATAAACTTATAAAAATAATTTTTAATAATGTAATTATATTCAAATTATTTTTAACCATTAAACTGTCTTACTTATATATTATTAAAATAAGTTCATTTTATTTCTTTTATTATCGAAATTTTATTTATAAAAATAATCATTATATCAATAAAATAAAACTTTATTTATTATACTAAATAATTTAACTAATAAAATTAATACCAATAAAAGATCTTTATGTTAATAAAAATCTAGTCAATAATTATAAATAATAATAAAATAAATTACAAAAAAATCAACGTTATCAATAACAGTGATGCAATTAATTATTGAAATAATATAAAACAGTATTAACATCAATAAAATAAAATTACAATAATTCTCTTATTTATTAACATTTTAAGTTAATTGATGATTACTCTACAATAGATAAAATTTATTTTTAAAGTTTTAACATTGAATTAATTAAATATTTAATTAAAATTATTATTTCTTTGAATACAAAGTTTTCTATAGTGTAACACTTCCAATTCAATAAATTCTTGTTAATGTATATAGTAGGACCTGTTTATATCATATTTGTGACTGCACTCGAATGTGTTGTTACATTATATGGGATTCAATTGTAAAGAACAGCAAAGATATGCTCAATAATGTATGTAATGTATGATCATCAGCTTTTGTCCAATATCATTGTATTCATAAGTGACCTTATCTTCAGTCTGCCATTGTATATTTATTGCTGTGCTGGATGGGACAACAAATAAAATGTTCAAGCTATAAGTGTTATTTATTAAAAGTTTATTAAACCATCATTATTAAAAGTTTAAAAAAAGTTTAATAATTTAAGTATTTTTAACTCTGAAAAGAATTTATGACGCTTGGACAAATTCGGTTAATAAAAAATTTATTTGTCTGATTTAAGAAAACACAACTTCAGAAAAGTTTGATTTAGATTTACAGAAAATTTTTAAGATACGTAATAATAATATTACTTTGTTTTTTATTTTTATGATTATAGCTTTCGACAGCAATCAATCAGCTAGAATATATGACTATAATCAAACAATATTTATTGGAAGTCCTCCTTCGTTCGATTCTCAAACTCCCAAAACTGTCACTTGTTACATAGGAGATACGGCAAAATTGCACTGTATTGTCAATAATTTGAAATATCACATGGTAATACTTTATTTTCTGTGTTTTTTCTATTTGTAAATTGGCGTAAACCTTTTTAAATTTTGTATTTTAGATATACTCTTAACTGTTCTTTTTGTATAGAACAGTTATCAATATTCCATAATTTTAAAAACTTGGCCTGTTGAACAGGTTTAAAACGTTCATTGCAGTTAATAAAATTAGATAAGGCATTGGTGTGGAGATTTTACTGTACCTTATGTATTAATATACCCTACGAAATTTTAATTTTATAACATAATTCGACTTAATTTTTGAAACTGTTTTCTTTAATTTATGACAATAAATCATTAAAAATTTATTTTATAGGTGATTTGGAAAAGAAGAAAGGATCATTCTTTGTTAACCGTTGTAAATAATAAAGTGATCTCAGATGAACGATTCGGAATTACAAATATTGACAACGATTGGATTTTAGAGATAAAAAACGTAAATTTGAATGACAGTGGCTATTACGACTGTCAAATCCCTTCTAATTCCACAACAATATATCCAGTTAAATTAATTATTTTGGGTAAGTGTAATTATTTGAATATTTTGAAAATTTTTATATATTGTTATTTAAGAATTTAAAAGATACTTATTTAATATAATATTTTTTAATTCACAGATTAATTTTTTACAGAAACATCTCTGCATGAGATTTCTTCTTGATAGACCTAACAATATTATTATATAGTCCAAATATCGAATAAAAATTTAATTGTTTAATTGTAATTTATCATTTAAATTGTTTTAAATTTAAATAATAAACTAATTTTCAAATTAAAATATGTCTGTTTTAATATTAATAAGAATAATGCTGAAAGGGATTTTATACTTTTGGTGTCAAAATGTCACCGATCAATATACTTTTCTAGTATTGTACTTATAAACAGCCGGGAAAGTAAATTAATAAAATTATTTCTTCTGAAGATCGAATCAAATGATTATACTTAAGCGGATATTCTAATTTCTTAGTTATTACCCACAATAGAAATAAACGTTTAAACACTACTACTTTTTCTTGTATCGAGTGTTGACTTTAGCGGTTTTGTCTTATGCCAGATAGCAATAGAAAGGGTACAAAACTTCTAAAGTTAAAAATAAAATTGAAATTTAAATCAAATCAATTGAAACATAATATTTCTAAAAGTGTGATAAAGTACAGTACTTGTTATCTGTTTTGATTGATTTGGTTACATTTCATGCATTTATAACACTTCTTCTAAAGTGTTAGTTTCGGTTGGCGGTGACCGAATATTTTGCCTTTAATATATAGGCTTATATAGAATAGATATATATAATATTCTCGTAATATTATCTTTAATATTATATTGCATTGTGGGCATTTTTATGCATGACATGTATCTAAAAAGGTAAAAGAAAGCTCGCTTTGTTTTGGGGGTCGGGAACGGATAAATCCGTTTCATATTGTTTCTTATGAGAAAATTTGTATCGGTTTTAGAATTAATCGGTATTCGAACAACCATTAGGAAAGAATTAAGTCCGAAAACCGAGGTCTGACTACTCTATTTGTCTTAATGTGACATCTTTCTCAAAAATTCTAAAACACAGACTAAAATCTCTCAATTGGTGACCATCTCCGAAGCACCTTTTCTGCTCTCCAAAACGGCATCAAAAGTCGCCTAATTAGCGATTTTTCACTAATCTTCCAGCACTTAACTTTTAATACTAATGTCAGGGGCAAAGTTGGGTCGATTTTAGGCTGTAAAAATCGAGTAAATTGAGATAAACGCTCAGTCTATATTACATTAATTTGCAGGTAAACAAATAGGCAGTGTTCAATACAATTGATTAGTTTGAAATTAAAAAAAAATCGCTGGGACTCAGATCCGACGTTCCCATTAAAAACTGTTAAATGTTAATTAAACTGTAAGTAATAACGACATATGGCAACAGCATATAAACGAACTGAGAAAAAAAAATATTCAATTTCTTCCATATTTCGAAACCGTGTTGTATCTTTATATCTGTTTAAAAAACTGCAATGTAGCACAGTAATCAACACATGGCATAACTCATTCATTTATTCCAGCTTTTGTTGAAACGCGTTTCTATACACGTTTCGGGCTCCGTTTTTGCCCCTCCTCAGTCAACTAAAACATATAAAAACCAATTATATACATATTATAACCCGACATATGAATTAAAACCACAAAAATAAAAGTATATTTCTTTGGTATATACAAGTAAGACACAACATACCATTTTTTAAAAAATTCCTTCTCTGTATGTATTTTTTTCCAACGGGAATCATACTCTATATACTTGATTATTTCAGATACCAGGATGAATATTTAATCTCACTTCTTCACGCCTCAGACATAGACTGTCTTATTTAAACTCTACTATACTTTGAAGACTATAAAGAACAACACCATTAGTGTACTCAACATGTAGGTATTAACAATATACAGGATTTTTTCTCTTACATACTTAGTCACNTTTTTATTTTAATTCAAACACAAATTATTTATCGTATTCATACAGACACTTGGCAAATCACAGAATTAAATTTTATTTAGTTGACTAAATAAACTAATCAACTAAATAAAATTTAATTCTGTGATTTGCCAAGTGTCTGTATGAATACGATAAATAATTTGTGTTTGAATTAAAATCAACTAAATAAAATTTAATTCTGTGATTTGCCAAGTGTCTGTATGAATACGATAAATAATTTGTGTTTGAATTTAAAAAAAAAGTATAAATCTATTCTTAGTATAAATTTTACAAGATACAACATAAGTTTTATTAATATACCTCCTAATATAGACTTCAGCAGCAATTCACAGCAAATTTCCTAATACATAAAAATTAAACAAAAAATTCTAACTAAATTGTTTTTTCTTCTCCCTTCAATTCGGAGGATCTGGCACTTTGACTTAGTTTTCGAAGTAAGGTTTATTTATTTGTTATGCATTTGGGTTTGCTATTTTTGGAGATTTACTTTAACCATTCTAAGAATATCATCGTAAGATTCGTTCATTTTGTCGCTATAGACACTTTTTGCGTCAATTTGACGTCATTTCTTTATTGCTTGTTCATTATAAGGAAAGAATGACGTCAACTTAAAATATGCAATATCCCTACAATATCCCTACCAATAGATTCTCGAATTGAAGTAATTTAAAATTTGTAATTTATAAATTTATTTCAAGTAAAAAAGTATGGTAAAAAAGAAAATATGATTTAGATAATTTCAACATTATTCATTATTACTTCATAAATGATTTCCAGATAAATTGAAGTTTTTATCTATAGATTTAAGTAGAACTATATTCTAAAGCTACAGTGATAATTTCGTTTTAAATTTGCACTTATTTAAGTCACAATAAACAAAACTTTAAACTGTTATTGATGAAATAAATGTGAATCCATTCACAATCAGTGAGATCATAAGGTTGCTCGTATCATTATCAAGCCTTGGTGAATATAAGGATATTTGTATCAAGTCTTTATATTAATATTTAATAAATATAAAAATTTCAAGAGTAAAATTAAATTTTTCAGACCATTCCATTATTTCAGTTTCTATAATATAATAAAATTGAACAAAAATAAAGAATCGTTTCGAAACTTCGAAAAAATTTCTAAATATTCATTTCCTAAACAATAATTTTAATCAAAATGTAATTCTACAATGATTTATAATCGAATTAAATTAGTCATATAAGCGATAATGATAGTTTCCATCACTTTCATCAATTTGGTGGATTTATTATAATGTTATACTAATGAATATGTTATTTCTACGTCGGATTTCGGACGGAAAAATTGTATTAACGTTATACGATGTACAAAATGTATTGATTTTATATTGATCTATTATATTTCTTATTCAAGAAGCAAATTTCTTCTTTTTAAATATTCTGGTGACATTTCGAACATAAGAAATTCCAAAAATAAATTATGAAAATAAATATATCTATCGTATTTGAATATAAAATATAAATATTTTAACATTTACAAAGTTTTAGTGTACATTATCAAATAACCACTTAAATGCAAAAATATGTAGAATACAAAATATGAAATGTATAAATATTTTAAGAAAAATTTAAATTCCTACAATATTTAATTTATGTTTCAAGTATGAAGTATATAATTTTCAATAAAGCTTAAAAAGCTTAATATTAAAGACTATTTACTTCTTAAATGTGACTTAAAAATATCCTCATGCTATTATATTACATAAGCTATACATTTAACATGAAAAAAATTGATTTTTCTTCTCAATAAATCTCAACTGATAGGTTAACAGCAACGATTTATTTCAAATAGTAGATTTGTTATTATGATTTATATTGTCTATTTCGTTTATCTCCGCCATTTTTTTTGTAGTTTCTATATTGAAGACCTTTTGATAAGCCACAATTCTGTTTTAAAAAAATTAATTTAAAATTTTAATTATTCTTTATTTCTCTTTTATATATATTGTATTATATACTATATTAATACAGCATGATATTATTACTGTAGTATATTTATTTTCATTTGAATAATTTCACTTCTATTTAAATATATATAATTTTTTTAATTTTACTGAATTTAAATAACTAGTTAAGTATTTGATGTAACGTTTCTATTTCTATTATATTTATTTCGAGAACATTTCTATTTTTAAAATTTTATATCTTCGATTTTAAAGATATCTGACTTTCATTTTTCATATATTGAAATGAAATAAATTAAATACAAAATAAAGCAATTTATATGAAAAATTCTATCAATAATACGTTTATAGCCTACGCAAAGATACAAAGAAAGTTAATATACATAGAATATTCGTAAAATAATTTATATTAGATTTTCGTTTACTGAATGGATAGATATACAGAATTTTTTAGCATATTTGATGTAATAATTCCAGAAACAGATATTAAACTAGTTCAGTAGGGTATTGAAATACATAATAAAGAGATTTTTCATGAAATATTTTGGTGTAACTCTTAGCAAATCACTGGAATTTAGTTTCTTCAATGCCATCGTAGCAGCCGAAATGAAACGAAATGTCGAAAGGTAATCTGTTACTTTATTAAGAAAAGAATGTAAATTTAGTGAAAGTATAGTGTTTTATTAAAAAGTAAGAAAATTTTCGTATAAAACTGAAAAATCAATCGGACTTATTGAAAACGTTTCTCTGTAATTCTGATAAAACTGACATAACTATCTCTACGCTGACACAGCTGCTGAAGTGACTTCCTCATCTCACGTGGAAAGAACCTGGAATTTTTTCTTATTAATTCGTTTGAAAGAAAAAAAAACATTAATTTAATAATAATAAATTAACAATCAAATTCCATTTTTTATTATTTTTTAATAAATATATCTTAATTAAACCATTTTCATAAAAAGTTTTTAGTAGTTAATAGCAGTTAATTATATCCATAAAAATTAAATTAAATTAGCTTTAAATAGTAATAAATAGGAGTTTAAATGTAAAAATTCTGAAATTGTTTTTAATTTAAAACAGAAATTGATATATAGATTTTGCAACTCGATCAAAAATAACCACGTTGATAGGGTTAGCTGATAAAATGGCCTGTAAATAAAAGTGAAAGGTTTATCTACAGTAAAAAAATATTTGGTTTTGGCATCAAAAGAGAAAAAATAAATTTCAAGTGAATATTTTTTATATCAGAAAATATGATTATCAAACTGTAATAAAATTTTTTCTTATTATAAT